CATTAGGATCAGTCACGCGGTGTTAGAAGGCAAGGCCTTTCCCTGAACTTTTTTTGCTTCTTTTCACATTCGCAGACATTCCCTGCCTCCACGAATTTCACTAGGAATAGATCTGAAGCAGCAACCGCAGAATATTTACACATCACTTTTGCCAGTGAGAAAGGCTAATCTACATATTAGTGTCCATCAAGGAGCCAGGCTCTGTACCAGAGAAAGCTGTCACTGCGCTGTGATCAATAAAACTGTGAATGTTTTGCTCAGCACCTTGAATATGTAAGAGTCCTTGGCATGAGATCTTAAAATTTTGATGTATTGGTAGTATTTTGACTGCGTTCATCAGAGAGACGAGGATCAGATTGCACAGAAGAGCGATAACAGCAGAACAAAGAAAGCAGGGGAGAAGTGAAGAAAACCCTTTACAGAGATGAAGGCAAGATGGAGCCTCCTCACGCAAGCACGCGGGCTCTCGCCATGGCCACATGGCTGCTCCAGAGGATTCCTGTGTCGGGCCTGCCTGGTGGGGCCCACACGAGGCCATTGCGGGTGCCACATACCCAAGCGCCCTGTTTCGGCCCAGCGCTGCCCCCTTCTCGCTCAGCGGCCCACCAGGAGCCCGCAGCAAGCCCACCTTCACCGTTCGCGACTGACCCGTCCCCGAAGCACAGCACGGGCCCCACGCATGGAGTGGTCTCTGCTTGGAAACCTGATCCTCAAAGTTAGTCAGGAAAGTCCAAAAGATATTGGTGTTGGAGGCTGCTGGAAACAGCTGACAGGATTTTTGGAAGGTCATACCTATCTAGGAGCCTAAACCTCCCTACCTATCCCTAACTATCACCTCAGTGGCTTTACCCATTCCTGGGTAAGACTGCAGCCGGGATAGCCAAGGAGGCTGGAGCGGCACTGACGGGGGACAAAACGTGACCGACAGGGCAGCGTGCTGGAGTATAGCAAGCCTCCCACCTTCACAGCACGCATGGAAGCCAGGGAGGCGCTCGAGCCTTGGCTTGCCCCGATGCCTCCCGTTTCAGCCTCCCAATTGGGTTTGCGAAGGAGGGACCGGCGGGCCGCGCGGCC